TGGAAAGTTTATTGGAAATTAAATAGTTTTCATTGGGATTTGAAACTAAAAATGTATAAACTATCAAATATACATTTTTGAGAAATTTGTATTACAAAGTTCCAAAAACAGCGAACTTTTCATTCGATATTCAACTTTTAAGGGACCACTTTAAATGATCTCACACCACAAAAAAATGAAACCATTAAAGAAAGCCTTAAAGTCGGGCGGGGCCGATTTTATGATACCCTACACCACTTTGCTAATTTAGTTGAGCTCCACTTAATAATTAAAAATTTTTATGGGAGAATTCAATCATACACGCTATGATTATAAATTATAATTTAAAATTCAAAGGACTAAATACGCCAAAGCATTTGTATCTTTTAAATTCGGACTTGCATTGCCCATTTGGTGCAAAATTAATTTGAAATCCGATACAAATATATATGGGAGCTATATCCAAATCGGAACCGATCTCGATAAAATTTCGCAAAGATATTTCTGAGCTGTATTTGATATATTTCCCTGAATATCGTTGTTACGGAGTGCATATTACGGCTGTGGGTAACAAATATAACAAATCGGATGAACAGTATATATGGGAACTATAGCTATATCTGAACCGATCTTCACCAAATTTGACATACTAGCTTCTAGACTCAATTCGGTCGTATGTGCCAAATTCCATCCATCCATTTGAGCAAATATTAAACGTTTGGTGCACAATTAAAAGTAAATCGGACGAAATTATATATGGGAGCTATATCCAAATCTGAACCGATCTCTATAAAATTTGGCAAAGGCATTTCTGAGCTGTATTTCATATATTTCCCCAAATATTACGGCGGCGGTGGACAAAAATAACAAATCGGATGAACAATATATATGGGAGCTATAGCTATATCTGAACCGATTACGATCAAATTTGGCATGCATATTTTCAGGCCTAATTTGGGTGTATATGCAAGATTCCATACAATTCGGGCTGATATTACACGTTTGGTGCACAATAAAAGGCAAATCGGACGAAGATATATATGGGAGCTATATCTAAATTTTTACCGATTATCTCCAATTTCAATAGGGTTCGTCCTTGGGCCAAACAAATGCTGTTTGCAAAATTTCATCTCAATCGGATAATAAATGCGACCTGCATTTTGTTCACAAGAATACATGGACAGACGGACGGACGGACATGCATAAATCGACTCAGAATGTGATTCTATGCAGATCATCAAAAGGAACTATGGCTCTATCTCGTTTCCTTTTGCCTGTTACAACAAATGCACAAAGACATAATACCCTGACCACCTTGTGGTGTAGGGTATAATGAAAAACTACTTACTTTTTGAATTCATTCCATTTTTTATACCCTCAGCCATATAGCTAATTTGATACGGCCAAAACGTGCCTCATCGAAATAATGGTTTTAGACCCTAGGTCTCTTTCTGTTTTAGGACATGTGAAGTCGATCTAGCAATGTCGGTCCGTCCTTCTGTCTGTCTGGCTGGTGCGTACAATAACTCTCGAAGGGAGTATCCGATTCGGTCCAAATTTAGTATATCACAATATTATTATCAAACTTAGATCGAGTTCGGAGATGAGCAATATTGGTCCTCTCAAGATCTGTTACAAAGACGGTAGAGATCGGACTATTCCTTTTTAGTACTTCCCCCACAAATGGTCAAAATTTTGAATAACCAAAACGATCATAAAATCCGAAATAAGCAACCGGTTCTCTTCACATTTCACGCATCTCATTATTTCTACTAACACAAGATATTGCTGTATGGGATATATCGGTCCACTACTTCTGGTACCTCCCCACAAAGGGTCAAAAATTTTAATATCGAAGCTCATAAAACGACAAAATCTGTTGTGAAGATGATAATTATCTGCGAACCCCTTCTGCTACCTCACCCACAAAGGGTCGGATAATTTGCGAAAGAAGAGAGCGATTCTTTACAACTTCCTGTGTCTAAATATTTTTCTCAACCAGAAACCTGGGTGAATATGGAATTGGAATGATTTCACATAAAATTGGATATAAATGTTCGATCCTCACGCACATTTTAACATTTACAAAAAATGATCGCATATCTCATATAAAATGGAGGAAGTTACCAAATTAGTCCAAACCTGGCACCTCGCAACATTTATATCATATATATTTGGGTCCGATACGAAATGGACAAATTTGGCCCATTCCTTCGGAACCCACTTCATAAAAGATCAACAATTTGAACAATCATAACAGAAGTCAAAATATATTTAAATAATCGAATATTGGCTAAGGGTATACATCAGCCAGAAAACCTCCTGATACTTTTTAACTTGACTCCCCGTTCAGAAATCTGTAGGAATTTTCCCTTAGCAACAATTTATGATAATACATTTTAAAACATATGTGCAGATAAGGAAACCATTCGGAAAAATGAAACACTTAAACCGCAATGTCCTTGAAAATAGTTTACAGCCCCAGGCAGGTTTTTGCACTTGTCACTGCATACTGCATGTTCACTTCGATGGAATTTATTTCTTGACAAGATGCTTACAAAACTGGCCACAAATGGGCTGTTCAAAAATATACACATAACAGATGTAGCCATTTATCATCTTCCAGTTTAATGTCAGCTAGGAATTTAATCACAATTCCCAAATTGAAGGACACAGCGCATGGCCCTTTGGGAGGGCTTAAATAAAATTTTATTAACATCTTCGAGAAAAAAAACATGGACAGCAACAGATGTAATTAAATCGAAGAAAACGAAAAATTGGCAAGGCTTAAATTGATTCACGAAGCCCATGATGGTCCTCCACAAGTTGTGGCGATTCAATAAAGAAACATAAAATCAAAATGAAAACCGAATCGAATTCGTAACATTGAAATGCAAACAAACTTGTCTAAAATAACTGACCAAGACAACAATGTAAACGAGGGGACAAGTTAAAGTAAAACACAATGATTATCATATCACGCCAAGAAGAAGAGATGAAGGAAAGGTCATTGGGGTGGAGTTTGTTGTTGGTTTTTTTGATTCAGACATGCATGCCTAAAGCATGAAGAAAAAAACAATACATTATAAAGTCGATCAAAAGTTACTCTACCAAAATTCGAATAGGAAAGACGAATCACCTGAAAAAATCTTCAGCCCATATAAAACTTGTATGAAGTATTCTGTTTGGAGAATAGAATAATTGAAGATAATATATATATTGTACAGGTCAACTATTTCTAAAATGTCTTCTATATCTAAAAGACTCTCAACAGGTCTCCTGTTTCTAAAAGAGCCTCTACAAGTCTTCTATTACTAGAAGACCCATAGAAGGTTGTCTATTTCTTATATAACCAGAAGACCTTCAAGTTTTCTACAGGTCATCTATGACGAAAAGACCTTTTAGAGGTATTCTATAGCCAGAAGACTTTCCTCAGGTCTTCTATAACCATAAGACTTTCTTCAGGTCTTCTGTAGCTAGAAGACCTTCTTCAGGTCTTTTATTGCGAGAACACCTTCTACAGGTCTTCTATGGCGAGAAGACCTTCTACAGGTCTTTTATGGCTGGAAAACCTTTTAGAAGCCTTTAGAGCCAAAAGATTTTCTTCAGATCTTCTATAGCCAGAAGACCTTCTTTAGGTCTTCTATAACCAGAAGACCTCCTTCAGGACTTCCATAAACAGAAGGCCTTCTTCAGGATTTCTATAGTCAGAAGACCTTATGCAGGTCATCTATAATCTTTAGACCTCCTTCAGGTCTTCTATAACCAGAAGACCTCCTTCAGGTCTTTCATAGTCAGAAGACCTTCTACAGGTCTTCTATTTCTAGAAGACCTTCTACAGATCTTCTAGCTTCTAGACCTTTTACAGATTTTTTATAGCTAAAAGACTCTCTACAGGTATTTTATAGCAAGAAACCCTTCTTCAGGTCTTCAATAGCGAGGAGACAATCTTCAAGTCCTTTATTTCTAGAAGACTTTCTATATGTCTTCTATTTCTAGAGGGCCTTCAATAGGTCTTCTATATCTAGACGACTTCTTCTTTTTCTAGAAGACATTCCTCGAGTCTCCTTTCTCTAGAAGATATTCTACGAGTCTTCTATATCTAACAGACTATCTACTGATCATCTATAGCTAGAGAACCTTCTACAGGTCTTCTATAGGTAGAAGACTATCTACACGTCTACTATAGTTAGAAGACCGTTTACATGTCTTCTATAGCTCGAAGACCTTCTTCAGGTGTTCTATAGCCAGAAAACCTTTTCCAGATTTTCTACAGGCGGAAGACCTTCTACAGGTCTTCTGTATCTAGAAGTCCTTTTTGGTCTTTTATAGTCAGAAGACCTTCTTCAGATGTCCTATAGCTTCAGGTCGTCCATAAGCTCAAGACTGTCTTCGGGTCTTCTATAGCCAGAGCACCTACTTAATATGTTTTAGACCCAAAAATTCTTTTTAGGTCTTCTATGGCCAGAAGACCTTCTCGAGGTCTTCTATAAACCTTATTTGGGTCTTCTATAGTTAGAAGAACTTCTTCAGGTCTTCTATAGCCAAAAGCCCTTCTTCAGGTCTTCTATAGCCAGAAGACCTTCTCCAGATCTAGAGTAAGAAAACCTTCGTTGGGCTTCCATATCTAGGAGACCTTCTCCAGATCTTCCGTAGTCAGAAGTACTTTATCAAGTCTTCTATAGCAAGAAGTCCTAAAAAGCATCTTCATGTCTTCTATGGCTTTCCATAACTTTAAAGTCTCCTCAAGTGTTTGTTGTAGGGTACATCGTACAACAACAAAACACTGACGCAAATAACTGCCTAAAGGCAAAAAAAAACATCAACCAAAGCCGGTCTGTCGATCGGTCATGCATACATAAAATTGCCCCTTTGGTATTCGCGTAGAGCAGTAGGTGCGTTTTCTTAACGCATTATTGTTTTCTTCGTTTCTTTATATCCAAAACTCGTTTCGCTTTTTTTTTTTTTGTACTTGTTGTTGTTGCTATTTTTTTTTCGGATCTTTATTTTTAATGACTTACCACTGTCAATTTCATTTTCGCTGGGATCTCTGGCAAAGATATCGCCCCGTGTCTTATAGTAGTGATCATGCTGTTCCGATTCAACGCTCTGCAATGCCTCCTGTCCATCCTGGTCAATGTCGTCGTCATAGTGGCGATGGTAGGTGTGATATGAGCGGTAACGTTGCTGCTGCTGCTGCTGATGTGAACGATAACGGGGTCGTGTGTATTGCGTACGATAGTCATCGTAATCATCGACATCGTCATTTGGTTCGGGGTGCTGTTGTGGAGGTCGTTGGAAATTAAGGGTTTTGTTGTTGGAAGCTTCCTCCTCATCGGCCTCGGTTCCCTCATTGCTTTCATAATCATCTACCTCCGATTCTTCTTCGCCCTCTGGTTCTGATTCTCCCTCATCTTCATATTCATCTTCTGGCTGTTGCTGTTGGTTTTGTTGCTGTTTTTCGGCCCGTGTTCTGGCATAGTTGCGATATTTTAGTAATTCCTGCAACGAATTCGGAGTCTTTCTCTGGCTGGAGCTACTGCCATAAGTTTTCCGTTGATAATTCGGCTTTGAAAAGCCGGAACGTTTCGACGAACCAGATGTCACCGAGAATCCTCTTGGCCTTGGCCGTTTCAATGATTTGGTGTATCTTGGCTTTGGCGTTGTCGTAGTTGTCGTGGTCGTCGTTGTAATCGGTGTAAGTATGGCCTGTGGCAATATTTCGGCAATTGTGGGCACTTTTTGTGTAACTCCAACTCCCAGGCCTAGACGGGTTTGCAAATATGTCGACAGCAGTTGTTGGGTAATCTGATTTTGTCTAGCAATTTCCGAGGGATCCAAACCAAAGTTGGTATCTGAGAGAGACAGAGAGAGAGAGAGAGAGAGAGAGAGAAACGGAAAAATAAGTGGTGATGAAGTAGACATAAATTTAAGTGGTGTTAAAATGCAGTTTTGTCTAATAAATCACTTCATGGTTAGTTGAAAATTATGTTTTGTTGTTTTTAACAAATTCTTTTTATCACTATTGCAGAAAAATGTTAATTTTGTTTTAAATATATTATATATGGTGGCTTTTGATGCCGATAAAGTGTATATTCAAAGTTTGCATAAAATTCACATTAGATAATTGGCATTAGATTTAAAAACGAATCTTGATAAGGCATGTGTCTTGATAGGCATGTGGTTGGACCCGGCGATGTGAGTATGTAATTGGAAAATAATTTAAAAATCATCTCAATTATTACCCTGGAAAACTACTTATGGATTTAGGTCCGAAAAATAACTTTAACAAGTCAAAAAGTAGTAAGTTCTGCCGGGCCGAACTTTGAATACCCTCCACCATTCGGAACGAATTTGGAAATTTTCAGAAAATAAAATCATTACAACATTCTGTTAAAATTTTAAAAATACCAAATTTAGGCATTATATTGAGGTGCATACGATGTAGGCCTACATAGGCATTGTTTGTCATAAGCTATTACCATATTCAAATTCGTAACTTGAAATAAACGGTGAATAATGTTGCTAAAATCATCAAAATATCGTATATAGGGAGGTACCGTTATATCGGAGCTGTACGAAGGCCTAGACCTGCATAGACAATTTTCTGTCACAGGCTGTAGCATCCATTACGAATTTCAAATACCACACCTCAAACAATTTCGGTGGGTATTGTACCTAAAATCGTCAAAATACCGAATATAGGGATGTACTGATATATGGGCCCTATACGAAGACCTGAACCAGCATAGATAATTTTCTGTCCTAGGGTGTAGTATTCAATTCGAACTTCAAATACCAAATTTGAAACAATTCCGGTGAATAAAGTCGTTAAAATCATTAAAATACCGAAAACCGGGAGGTACCGTTATATGGGGGCTATATGAAAACGTGGACCTACATGGCCCATTTACGAACTTAACCTGCCTACTGGAATACTAAACATGTGTGCAAAATTTTAGCCATCTATCTCAATTCGATCGAAAGATAGCGTGATTACAACAGACAGACGGACAGACAGACAGACATGGCTAAATCGTCTTAGAATTTTACGCTTATCAAGAATATATGTACTTTGTTGGGTCTGACATGAATATTTCGAGGAGTTACAAACGGAATGACAAAATTAATATACCCTCCATAGAATGGTGGAGGGTATAAAAACTAACTGAAACTAACCTAATTTAAAAATTTATTAAATTGCTAAAATAAGAACAACAAAAGTATTAGAACTGATCGTGTTGTTGAAGAATTAATCGATTATTCAATAAAAACAAGTAAAAAAGCTATAAGTTCGGCCGGGTCGAACTTGGAACACCCTCCACCACTTGGAACGAATTTCTCAATTTTATTTTTTTTTTTTCAAATCCCGAATGTACCCATTATAGTAGAGTCTATACGACGACGAGGACATGCATCATCAAAATACCGAATATAGGGAGGTACTATTATATGGGGCTATATCAAAACATGGACCTGCACAGACAATTTTCAGACATAGGCTGTCCATTACGAACATCAAAAACCAAATTTGAAACAACTCCGTAGCTAAAATCACCAAAATACCGAATATGGGCAGGTACCATTATATGGTGGCTGTAAGAAGACGTCGTCCTGCACAGACAATTTTCTGTCAAGGGCTGTAGTATCCATTACGAACTTCAAATACCAAATTTGAAACAATTCCGGTACACAATGTTGCTAAAATCATCAAATACCGAATATGGGGAGATACCGTTATGTCTTGGCTGTAAGAAGATGTCGTCCTGCACATAAAATTTTCTGTCAAGGGCTATAGTATCCATTACGAACTTCAAATGCCAAATTTGAAACAATTCCGGTACATAATATTGCTAAAATAATCAAAATACCGAATATCGGTAGATACCGCTATATAGGGGCTATACGAAAACGTGGAACTGCACTGTCAATTTTCTGTCATAGGATGTAGTATCCATTACCAACTTCAAATACTAAATTTCAAGCAATTCCGGTGAATAATATTGCTAAAATTATTAAAATACCGAATATGGGGAGGTACCGTTATATGGTGGTTGTAAGAAGACATCGTCCTGCACAAACAATCTTCTATCATAGGCTGAAGTAACCATTACGAACTTCAAACTCCAAATTTGAAACAATTCCGGTAAATAATGTAGCTAAAATCATCAAAATACCGAATATGGGGAGGAACCGTTATATGGTGGCTGTAAGAACACGTCATCCTGCAAGGACAATTTTCTCTCATAGGCTGTAGTATCCATTACGAACTTGAAAAAACAAATTTGAAACAATTCCGGTAAATAATATAGCTAAAATAATCAAAATACCGAACATCGGGAGATACCACTATATAGGGGCTATACGTGGACCTGCAAACGAAATTTTTTGTCATAGGCTGTAGTATCCATTACCAACTTCAAATACTAAATTTCAAGCAATTCCGGTGAATAATGTTGCTAAAATTATTAAAATACCAAATGTGGGGGGGGGGTACCGTTATATATGGGGGCTATACGATGACGTGGACCTGAACATACAATTTTCTGTCAAAGGCTGTAGTATATATTACGAACATCAAATTCCAAATTTGAAACAATTCCGGTACATATTGTTGCTAAAATAATCAAAATACCGAATATCGGGAGATACCGTTATGTCTTGGCTCTTAGAAGATGTCGTCCTGCACATACAATTTTCTGTCAAGGGCTGTAGTATCCATTACGAACTTCAAATACCAAATTTGAAACAATTCCGGTACACAATGTTGCTAAAATAATCAAAATACCGAATATCGGGAGATACCGCTATATAGAGGCTATACGTGGACCTGCATACGAAATTTTTTGTCATTGGCTGTAGTACCCTTTACGAACTTAAAATACGAAATTTGTTATTATTACGATGAATAATATCGCAAAAATCATCAAAGTACCGAATATCGGGAGGTATCGTTATATGGAGGCTATACGAAGACGTGGACCTGCAAAGACAATTTTCTGTCATAAGCTGTAGTACCCATTACGAACTTGAAAACCCCAATTTGAACCAATTTCTGTGAACAATGTCGCTAAAATAATCAAAATACCGAATATCGGGAGATACCATTATATGGGGCCTATACCAACACGTGGACCTACATGGCCCATTTTCAACACTAAAAATCCTGCAGACATAATACACATTTTAGTAAAATTTTATCAACCTAGTTCATTTCGTTCTGAAGCTAGAGTGATTTCCACAGGCGGATAGAAGGACAAACAGACGGACATCGCTAAATCGACAAAGAACTTTATGCTGATCAAGAATATATATACTTTGTGGGGTCTAAAATGTATGTTTCGAAGTTCTACAAACGGAATGACAAACTTAATATACCCTCCATACTATGGCGGAGGGTATAAAATGAAACCAAAAACCGGATTCACTAATCCTCTTATTTTTTAAGTCATTCCAAGAATTCGTGTTATTCATTATGAATGCAGACTAGAAAATAATAGGCAGTTCAATTTCCAAATTGATACACAAATAAAGTTTTTTTTTTTTTTTGTGGTACACCAACAACTCTGTGAAGGGGATTCACCATCGGCTTCAAACATAAAACGTGTGCGTGTCATTTTATTGAGCATGAGTTTTTGGACAAATCTCAACAAACTATAATTAAACAATTCTTGGAACTGATATTTGCACACCAAAATATTAACTGAAACTGTTTGGCGGTTGGGGGTTATTAATGCTAATGACCATAAATCATATTTTTTTTTTGGCATTTTCTTTTCATTTCCTTTTCCATGTGCGGATTTAATAGGCGTATCACCGTGACTATTATTGTCTCAACGACGAAAACATTTTAGAGGTGCTCATCCAATGACATATGACGAATTTCAACATCAACACTGTTCGTGCCAAAATAGTTTTGGATTATTAGCGAATATCAAAAAAAAAAAAATAAATAAATAAATAAATAAATAAAGAATTTTAAAATATTTCTGACTTGAAATTCAAACAATAATTCAAATTGAGTTGAAAGATTTAAATTAAAAGAGTCGAATTTCAAATGGAATGCAAAAAAATTTCAGATGGAATTCGGTTGAAATGCCAAGAATTAAAATTTGAATTTTAAGATTTACAGATGAATTAAATAATACAACATTTGAAAGGGTGTTGAAAACTGCTCAAAATTCTTAGATTATTGACCTATAAAAAAATTACATAATGTTGCTAAAATAATCAAAATTCCGAATATCGGTAGATACCGCTATATAGGGGCTATACGGGGACCTGCATACGAAATTGTTTGTCATATGCTGTAGTACCCTTTACGATCTTAAAATACGAAATTTGATATTATTACGATGAAAAATATCACAAAAAATATCAAAATACCGAATATCGGGAGGTACCATTATATGGAGGTGTTGAAAACTGCTCAAAATTCTTAGATTATTTACCTATAAATATTTAAAAAAAAAATTCTTTAACGAACAAGTAAAAAAGCAGTACGTTCAGCCGAGCCTAAATTTGAACACCCTCCATGGAGGTGGAACAAATTTGGCAATTTTCAAAAAACTGAAATTTGTTAAAATCTTTGGAAACCGAATGTAGCCGTTATATTAGTTTCTATAAGACGACGTGGGCCTGCATAGGCAACGTTTGTCATAAGCCATTACAATATTCAAATGCGAAACATGAAAAAAAATTTAAACAAAAAATTTAAAAATTTAGTTGAAATCATCAAAATACCGAATATTGGGAAGTACCATTATATGGGGTTTATACGAAAACTTAACCCGCACAGACAATTTTCTGTCATAGGCTGCAGTATCCATTACGAACTTTAAATACGACATTTCAA